TCCCTAAGCAGCGGGATTTGATGTTAGTTTTTAAAAAAATCTAATTCTCTATTTAATTCAAACGAACAAACTTGGTAGCATCGAAATGCCTGCTGAGGGAAAGCCATCTCTGATTTGAGAGCTATTACTTGATGTGTGTTTATAGCTGTAAATGTATTCACCTTGAAAAGACTGTGTTACCCCTCTGCAATGTCTTGTTACATTAGGATTTACTTACTTCATTACCAAGATTTGTGTGAGCTAGAATGGTCTCTTGCTAGCCTTCTCAAAGCAATTAAGCTCTTTAAAAGATCTGAGGGTTTGATGTTCTGTTTGGAAGTAAAGGGGGGTGGGCAAAAAATTTTGGGACTGAGAAGATAAAAGTTTTACAATTAAGTTTTAATTGTAGCTGCTGGAAAAAGTAAAAGTAGGTTCTGTCCATGATGGAGATCTTGCAAAAACGTAGAAACAGAAAAGAAATAAAATGGATTGACTTTTGTTCAGCCAGTATGCTAAGGAGTTTTAAAAGAAAAAACCCACTTTTTCGATGTAAAATGATCTGGAAATTAAAGAAAATGAAGAACTGTCAGCATGTAATTGCGATTTGAAATAATAATGCTGAAGATGTGTATTTAGATGTGTTTTCCTACCATTTGGCTACAATAAAATGGCTCCATTGTGTACAAGATCTGGTTACTCTATTACCTCATAGCAAACTGTGTACAGGTTGTTCTAATCTTAGGAATGTGAGCAAGATGTGTTGTTTTAATTTAGCAACTTAACAATTTCAACAGTATTGTAGTAATTTAGAAATAGCTCATTTTAAAGTCTCTTAGTAACATCAAAATTGTGTCGCTGTAGCTTTACAGAACAGGATAAAGATTATATAACATGGAAAGTAAACCAGCCTTATTGTTAAGGAAGAGAAAGCATAGGTAGGATATACTTAGATGACAGATCTCTACCCCGGAAAAGCTGTCTTAATGTACGTGTTCCTGGTATCTTCTGTCACTTTGTGCTTCTGGTTGTTTTTTTTGTTAGTAAAATTTCAGTAGACCCACTTATAGAGGATGCAACAGAATGTCTGCACAGTGAGATCCTGTGTATATTCTTCTAATGTGCTGTGGTTGCCCTAAATGATTTGATAGGGTTTGAAATTGTTCCAGTGGCAGGAGTGTGGGGCTTTAGTCTCTTTGTATTTTGTATGTTTATTAGTAGGCTAAATTCTTTTGCTGCATTCTGTTACAGAAGCTACAGAAGCATTTGTGTTGACAAAGCTCCCAATCTGTTCTAATGTTAGTACAAAGACCCTCTAGAAGTGATGATCCCATGAATTGTGATTGTATCTGGGTTGGCTGTAAACATTCAGCCTTTGTCCTCAGGCCTCAGTACATGCTAGGTGTGATGTCATCTCAGCTTGTCATGTCTTACTGAGCAATTGCATTAGCTTTCGAAGCTGTACAGCATGCATTAGCTTGTGAAAGCTGCCCAAATCTAAGCATTGCAGCCTTTGCCTCTTGTGATGAATTTTGTTTTTACTTGTGGAGAGCAGGGAAATGTCATGTTACAGTGGTTACATAAAAGATCTTACACACTTAATAGGGGTGATACCTGTGGAGCTAAGTGAGATTATACAAAATCACTCTACGTCAGCTCTGTAGTGAAAGGCCCAAAATAATGGGTTTTTAGCCACTGAAAATTAATAGTAAAATAACTGCTATTCTAGGGTTCCTCTCCTGAAATGTTGTCTTCGTATTTGGGAAGCTTCCGTTCCTTACATGACATAACTCAGATCCATCTTTTCTCTCTATAGGATGCAGATATGGAAGAAAAAGCTGACTTAATTCGCTCAACAGAATTAGCTTGTGTGAAGTTCACTTGTTTGGCCTCTCAAATCACAAGCGTAGTTTTTCATTGCATGCTATGGTGTTACAAACTCATGAGCTTGTTTATATCTCAAGATCAGAACGTTTGAAGTTTGTGTGTGAATTCTGTATTTCAAAATACAGTGACTCATATCCGCGTGAAACTCAGCTGTTCCAAAAATATGGATTACTTACAGATCTAGAGAAACGTAGTGCCATTTATGTTTTTAGGTTAAACAAACATATTTTTTGTTTATTTGTGAAGAATTAAAATTTAATTCTTTATTCTTCAGAATTAAAGTTTAAGTATGAAGAAAAAGTGTTGCAGCAAACTGGAAGTTTGATTGAACTTCTATTTTAATATTAAGCATCTGTTGTAAAAAATTTGGAATATGCAATTAAATATCCGTATTACAGAAGTCTAAAATTTGAAATCTTTTCTGATACAGATGAGTGAATATGCTCGCTCAGGCTTTTCTTAAACACTGATAAATGTGTTGTTTCCATTCATTTTTTAAAAGCTAAAGCAGAGTAAAAATTTGAATATATAATAATTTTTAGCGTGGTAATTCGTATGTGCTACGCATTAATAATGCAGGCAGCATTAAATCCTAGTATGTTTTCTCACATACAGCAGGATTTGCTTTCATTGCAAAAAATGGAATGAGTTGGAATGTGAGCAAAGAATGAGGAAGTACTGTCATTCTGTGCAAAAGGCATCAGCGCATTGAAGTAGCCACTGTAATGTATTCAAGCATGTAGTGGGACTGCTTGATCATCAGATCCACACTAACAGTCTTGTTCCTGCCTGATGTAGGATTTGTTGCAAGTTTTTTTTGGAGGAGATTTTTTGTACGGATCCCCCGGACTGAGATGGATACTGATTGCAACCCACTGCCATGGATTGGTTTGTTACATCCTTCTGGTGGAGAAAGGACAAACAGAATTGTCAGAAAATGAGACTATAGACACTGAAGAGTTGGGCTTCATTCTGTAAGCAGTCCGCAAATTCCAGATACAGTTTTGAAGAGTGATCTGACAGACGTTTATTTTCTATAAATCATTGCAATTAATAGACTTGCTTAGACCTGGACCAACAAAATTAACAAATGCTTGATGTTAAAAAAAACAAAACCCAAACCAAACAAAAAACCCCCCCCAAAAAATACCTGTTAGGAGAATGTGTATTCACAGTCCAAATGTTGACTCTATTTGGAGAATATTTTTATTCTAATGAGTCTGGGGGGTTTTGAGAAGCAGATGGAAGAAGATTCCTCAAAGAATCTAGGAAGGGATTTCACTTGTTCTTTGTATTTTCGGATGGGAATGTTGGTGTCATCTGAAGTCATGGTAGTAGTGTTTACCGTATGGCCTTTCTCTTAACTTAAAGAAAAGTTCAGTCTCAAAAATAGCTGGTTCAAACAAATCTTCAGGCCATAGGGCCGTGCTTAGCAGAGCCTTCCTTCTGATGTTCCCCACTATGCATAAACATCCAGAGAGCAGTATGAAACTTTTGAGATAAGAATATTGCACTATCGCGGAAGACTTTACAGGTAGGTTGCATGTTATTAAAAATGAGTGAGATGTTATCAGTACAAAACCTGGAGTATCTTTAGTGAAGTGTAGTTCCTAAAAATGATAGGTTGGGACCCTAGTGGCAGCTGGGAATTCAACCTTGTGTCTCCAGGAGTGATAGTGGTTAGTCTTTCAAGAGTGTATTAGGTGAAACCGAGGAGAAAATACACTTTTCCAAGGTCCTGTGTTCGGTGAGGGAAGCAAGTGAATAAACTACACATATCTACCCATCTGTTTGCCTGCCTTAGCCTTAAAATCTTGGCAAGCTGAGCACTGGGCTTTCTTGACAGACATTTGAGATGTTAGGCCTTAGTTAATCAAGAATAGATGTTCTAAGATCTCTCTGCGTTGTGTATGGTATGCTTCAAAGTGAAGCTGAAAGAAGTAAACAGTTTGTCTTTTCATAAAGATACTAGGAATATCGTGTATTCTTCTAAGGCATTTTTAGCAGTGATTAAAAAAATAAATATAAACTTGGGGGGGAGGGATTGAGCTTGTTGAAAAATAAGTTTATACAAAGGCTTCAGTTTACAGGTGGGAATTTTAGACCTCTGGAGCTAGAACTTCCCTGGAGTATGCTGCCAGGTGGGAACTCTCCTGCGATAGTCTGTTTTGCCAAAGCTGTTGTCCTTAATCTAATCTCATAGTTTATTTTATGAAGTTCACCACTACAGCTAGAAGGTCACTTAAGAAGTAAACTGTCTAAAAGCCAATTCTAACATCCTTGTATTTTTCTCCAGTTTTCGAATGGATAGCATTCTGATAAGCCTAGTATGTTTAACATGGCAGAAGCTAGTTTAGGTTAGGAAGGTCTGGGGTTTTTTTTGGGACGTGAACTTTGAGAGCTTGCTGAGGTTAAGTTTGTTTGGGCATCACTAACGACCAGGCAGTAACACTGACAAACAGGTATGTCGTCTTCCTTCTGTGAAACTTCTTATTGCTGTCTTGAAAACTGTAAAGCAGAAAATACACAATGTAATCAAGAAAGTGTTCCTCGTATTATTTTGTAAGACCTGGGGATATGAAGATAATATCTGGGTGATAAAACTGAGGTTCAGCAATTTGTCCTCAGCTACTAGAATTTAATTGAGTGGATGAGAAGTAGATAATGCCTTAAATAGTAAAACAAAAATCCAAACGTGTCGGTGATACGAAGGGAAACTTACGATTGTGTTGGAAGCTGCATGGTTTCCTCCGTCCTCTCAATATTACCAAACCTGTGTTAGGAAAAAAATGGAATTGTTTTTTGAAACATCTAAACAAGAGGCAAAGGACTTCTATTGACCTTTCTGTAGCCAGGGCATTTCTAGCACCTTTTGAAGGGCTGCAGGCTGTGGCAGCTTAGTGACAGAAAAACCACTTGTCCCTGGGTTGTATTAGCGGTTGTGGGCCACATCTGTTCCGTATGTTGTACGTGCCCTAACCACGGCTTGTTCTGGAAAGTCGAGTACACTTCTGATCCTGTGAAGCCGTTTGAGCTCACTGTCGCTAGGATGTGTTTTGGCACCTGCCTAACAACTGTGGGAAGAAAGTTATTCTGTAAGCTTTCTTGATAGGGTTATATGAAGGATTTCTCAAACAATGTATTGCAGCAGTGGAAAGTCCTCTATGAGCCTTGGTGGTACAAAGGTAAAATTGTAGATTTTTTGGCATCACGATCTGCCCATCCAAGGCAGGATGTTTGAGCTATGTTGCTTCAGTTTGAGGGGCAATGCTAGAACAGTTTGAATAATCCTGTTTGAGGAGGAAATCTGAAGACTCCAAGTTTGGTTGCTTTCACAGCTTTTATGTGGGAGAATCTGCATTTTTAGGAAGAATTTGCATCAATATAGGTTTGGGGGTTTTTTGACATGTACTACTTGTGATTACGTTTTTTTGGTGGTAGTCACCTGTACTGCATTTCTAAATTTCTCCCTCCTGCTCCACCCACCTCCAGGGTTTTAAACTTTTCAGCACTGTTTCTTATGTATGTCCATCACCTGATCAAGATGAAAATAGGAGGAAATACTAGAACTGCCAGTTGGTCGGATTTCTTTCAACTTCTCTTGCATTGCCTACAAATGCTGTGTTAAAAGCTCTTATGTTACCTGACTTAGACTAAGATAAAAGGTGATGTTAATACTGTGTTGTGAAATTTTGGGGGTGAATTAGTTTTGCAAGTTCTGTGGGCTTTTTGTTTATTTATTTGTTGGGTGTTTTGTGTTGTTTTTTTAACAGGAGTCTTACCCCTCTTCATCACCAATATGGTTTGTAGAATCAGATGACCCCAACCTGACTTCAGTCTTAGAGCGTTTAGAAGATATTAAGAAGAGCAATACGCTGGTGAGCAAGTGTTTTGGTTGTTTTGGGTGTTTATTTGGTTATGGGTGTTTATTTAGCTTTGTCACATTTAGAAGCAATTAAATTAGTTCAGTTTTGGAGTTATTTGGGAGGCTTTGCAAACATGTTTCTCTTCCAAACATAATCCAAAAGAGTTGATGCAAGGAGGAGGAGATGACTTAAATGCTTGCTCTTTAAAGTAAGTTAAGTTTGAGCCCCAATAATTGCACAGTTAGAGGTTTTCTGAAAATACATAAATGGTGAAATGCACGAGAAGTTAAAACTGCTGAATAAAACAGCTTTCTACGGTCTCTTTGCACAGAGATCAATTACAGAGGCAAAAGGTTTGTGTTCTTGAGAATGTATGTTCTCCAAAACATGGCTGTAATGCTAACTAATACAAAGAATTCCTGGTAGCTTGATAGCTTATGGTTCGTCAGAATGTTCTTAGATACTGGTAAGTTTGAACGGTGTTTGGACAATTGCTATTTAAAGAAAATCTTTGCACAGATTCTAATGGTAGTTTTGTATTTCAGAAAACTATCAGGCATTATATCTTACTTGAGTACCCTTTTGATGTAGTGATAGGAGCTGTGCGTGTATATATATATATATAAAAAATTAACTAGCCATTCTGTGCAGGAAGGTAGGCGTCCTTGAATGCTACTTTGAGAAAAATTTCAGTACAAATGTACTTTGTTCCACAAAGAGCAGTATTGCAGCCTACTAGTAAATTCAGTGATTAAAAGTGTTGGTTTTCCTCTCCAAATTCAGCTTTAAGCATATTAAATCACCCTCATGGATAATATTTATTAACAGATTATTTTAATTTTTTTGTTTATTTTTGTGTACAGGAATGCATGCGGGGGATGCATACAAAACAAATCTTTCTGCAGAATACTGCTTCTTGCATGGATTATGTGTTGGCCTTAGTATTTGCCTGGTTTTGGAAAAGTTGGGAATGTTCTTTCTCATGAAATCACTTACCTGTAATATTTACTGGATAATGGTAATCCAGCATACTTTAAAGGATGTGTAAATTTCTTTTTCTAAAGAATATTTAGCATGCATTTGACTTCTAGCAGAAATAATTAGAAAACTAACAAGCAAGTGAGAGTCTGTGTTCCTTGCCATAATTAAAAACAACGGAGTATTGCAGAGCAACATGAGTGTTTTAATGTATTATGTTGGATCTTGATTACAGGAGACGTACATATTGGCTGCGTGTTTTCTTCTTACAACCTAAACTATAGACTAAACTATGTTTAGAAGAATGTTGTAGATCTCTTAGTCTTTGTGACTTCTGCCTAGAAAGACATATGACAGTATAGTAGCAGAAAGCGTGGCCAAATCAACTTTTTTCTTAAATACATTTCTCAGAAGTTTCTCCAGCTTGAAGCTAGTGTGGCTAGTAGCTCCAGACTAAAGGTTTTAAACAAGATATTTCCCATGCCTAACTACCTACAGGTTTGCTTGCAGTAGGGTAGAAAGCTTTATTGCACGCATGCATAGGACTTTCTGTTCTGAATTGCATATGCACATAGGCTGCTTTATGTATGTTGTGAGAAACAGCTTCTGATATCAAGATTGTACTTGCCCATGTAAAAGCTGATGGGTTGATGTAATAGACACCTGTGGATGGCCCAGTGGTTTCTCAGGAATCCACCCCACATCATGTTATGCCAAGATGAAGATAGATGGGAGTGGTTGAAGAGACAAACACTTAGGCTACAAAATCTGACTTGTTTGTTTTGCTCAAAAGGCTTGGCTTTGTGGGTTTTGGGTTTGTTTTTTCTCCCTACAACTTTTTGCTATGCGACTCCCTCCCTCCCCTTCAAGGGCATTGAAGCAACTCACAGATTACTTGGGGTAGGGTAGGAAAGGGTAAGGAACTACTAGTTGTAGAAATTCAGAGGCTTCTGATTTATCACACTATCTGCTAAAAATTCACATAGTTCAATTCAGACTTTTAGAATGTTTCAAAACAGTTATTTAATTTATTGCAGGTAAAGGGTTGTTGGAGCCATGTTGCTCTAAGCTCAAAGTTACTAGAACAGTCAAATTTTGAATGGTAACTTGCATTGAACTCTTCCAAGAGCTTAACCGAGCACAGCGAATGTGTGCTAGAAGTACTGCTAGCACATGTACCCTGATTTAGAGTTTGTTGGTATTACTCTGCCCTTTCTACTTGCTTTCTAACTTATGACAGGTATCAGCTGTTTGGGAAACTGAAGAACGTGCTCTTCAGGCATAAAAGTTTGACAGGGCTATATATATGGAAGCTTTGTCATTTGACATGGTAAAAGGAAAATTGTTTTACCAATGTTAAAATCATGCATGCGTTTCCTGGAAAATCTCCTGTGGGTCTGAAACTCTGTGCTACCTTGGCATCAGCATGGCGCGTTTTGCTATGAAGATTCCTCGAAACACTGAAAATGTTGAAAGGTTGTTAAGAACGTGATCAGCATAGATAGAATTGAGTTTGGAGGCTTTAGCTGCTTGACTGTTCATATTGAACAAGTTCCAGTCAGCAGATGAAGGGGCTACAGAATTCTTCCTGACCTCTAGCGTCTCGTGAATTCCCTTTCAGATCCTAAAATCAGGATTGTGGTAGACTGGGTAGCTGCCACGGGTAGCTGAAACTGTCAGCTGCCTTCTAGTGGTTGTGCTGTGCAAAAGAGAGATCCTACTTCAGTTCTGCTGTTGTGTTTAATGGAATGGAAGTTATAGTTGCTAGCCTAAAGTTTCAGACCTTACTTCATGCGTTATTAAATATATAATTATATATACGATTTGGAGGTTTGCTTTTTAAAGACAATAGTGCAATGGACTTAAATTCAGATGGTGAGCTTTAATTCTCACGCTCTCCAACCCCTTCCTGAGGGCTTAAACTTGCATGGAAGGCTTCAAAAGTATAGAAATCCTGGCATGTGTACCTCGTAGATAAGTTGCTCTCCCTAAGCATGCTGCTTCTGTATTAGGAATTTAGATTTAGTCCCACATGGTGGCATTTCGGGAAAGAACGTTGGCTCTTGCAAACTGCCAGTGCACCAGCAACTAATTATGTATTGGGAAGAAACTTTACTTTGTGAAACTGCCCAAGGCTGCTGAATGCACGTGAGACCCGTTACTGTCACAGAACCACTGATAGCTATGTAGTCGTCGCACTCCAAATAAGTTATTTCTTTCCTCTGTTTCCTCTGAAGCAGTTTCCTTCAGTGGCAGGCTAAGACTTATTGATTAATTTATTTTTATATAGCTATAGATATTGTGTGTTGTGTGTATATATATATGTATACTTACCCTATACTTCAGTTCATGTTTCTTGGTAATCAGAAAACAAGGTGCTTCATAGTGGACCCAGCAGTATAATAATATCATTAAAGGTATTCTAAGATTGTTAATGCTTTTGATTTGTTAATGCAATAGAAAAATCTCTTCATGTATAAAAAGGCCTCCTAATGTAGGACAGGTTTCAGACAAATTGTTCTAAACTGTTTTCAGATTTGCAAGATCTTCATACAGGAAACAAAAAATTCTAAGAGGTGTTTTTGTATTCTAAAACAGCATTATGTTGTCCATAAGAACTGCCAACTTCTCGGAACTCCTGAAGCATTAAAAGTTGCATTATAGATGTGTATATTATATTTTTATATTTTATTGTTATTGTTATATTAATTATAACTAATATGATTAATTCATAAGTTTATGATTGTATTTAGTCACTTGAGCATTTTCCTTATGCAGGCTGTTTACATGGCTCCTTTAATGCCCTGTGGATTATGCATTCCAGTTGCTGTTTAGTTTCTCCTTTAGGCAGTTTGTATTCCAGGGGAAACTATTGGTCCTCTGATAGCCCACTTTTCTTTCAGTAGCAGCAAAGTGTGTGTGTTGTGTTAAGCATTCATTTTACGTTAGTCAAGCATGTGAAGTTAGCTTGGAAATACATTTAAATTATTCATGCGTGCCAGAAATCGGCTATCACCTTTGATAGTCTATTCACGTACCGTTGGCACGTACCAAATCATGCTTGGCCCTGCTTAGAGCAGGGCCTTGGATCAGATGACTTCCAGACATGCCTTTCAGCCCAAATTATCCTCTGATTTTTCATACATATGAGCAGAGCATAAGGGATAATGGTGATCCATGAAATTAATTCCTATGGAGGAAAAACATAGCAATAAGGAAGAAGGGTTGTGGAGACAGGATCAGCTTCTTGCTCTGCCACCACCTCTGCAGATTGTAGAAACTGATGTCAAGTAAAACAGCTATAAAGAATGAAACTGCAGTTTGATCGCTGCCTTAAGCTAACTCTGAGGTGCAGACTGCTGCCAAGGAAGGGGGTCCGTGCTCTCACCTGCATGTTCCTGCTTCCCCCTTTATGGCAAAATTGGTGCTTATGTGCTGAAGCACAGCTGGAATTGATCTGCCTCAGAGCTTGCAAGCTGCCGCATTCTTGCGTGATCTCTGGTGCCAGTGCAAATGAGAAGGCGCAAATGTGCGGCTGGAGGCAGGGGACGCCTCTTCAGGCACAGCCGCTGTGTAATTTGGTCCAGGTTGTTCCAGCAGTGTGTTGCTTTGAGTGTGTACCTTGCAGTGGTGCTGTGTTCAGAAGGAAGTGAGGGAAGCTTCTAATATGTTGGGTCCTGTCTGTAAAGATTCCTTCTGAATTTCAGTTCAGGTGACAGGACTTCTGAAGAGGATGAGGAGTGGAGGAAGCAGTTCTTAACTCTCTTCCCAGCCCTTATTGTCTTTTTCTGTAGACACACATCTGGTACTGTGTTCAGCTGCTTTTCCAGGCTTTGGACCAGCTGCAGGTGGTGGTAGTGTTCTTCCCCCACCATTTTGATTTGATTTTTTTTTTATGCTTCACAACAGATGTAAACAAGTTAATGGATTACCTAGCTTTACATTGCTAAGTGAGAAAAATTACAATTCCTGGAATGTTACAGTTTCTGCTCCAGCTCTCCATGAGGCAGTGTGGTTTGTGCAGAGAAAAATTTTCTCAACAAAATGTGTAACAGTGCAACTTTAACTATCTTACACATAGTGAGAGTAGTAGTTCTAAGACCTGTGGTTCTATCTACCAACTGATTTTTTGGATTAATTAACCTGCTTTCTGCCTGCTAAAAGATTTCCTGGTGTTTCGGACACCGAGGAAGTTTCAAGCAGATGCAGAGTATTACACTGAGAAATGTGATTGTTACAGAAAGCTTCTGGCAATATAAACTATCACATCTCATGTATATACTCAGAAGGAACGTGTTGCTGATACACCAGTTCTTTTGGTGTCATCTTTGTTTTTGAGTTAAGGATGACTGTCGTGAATGAGGCAGAAACAGTAAACGTGGTGTGATACGAGAGAACGGCATAGTTCTTCTAATGCAGGCTGCTACGTCAGGTCTTGGCCTCCGATGAATAAATAACGTTCCTATTAAACAGGAACATTGAATTCTACTGGAGAAGGGAAAAGCACTGAAGCTTTCAGGTAGCAGGAGGGCAACATTTGCTTATCACTGCTAGTGATTTGGTCTTGGAAATGAGTTCTTAACCCTGGAGATACTGAATTTTCACTTGCAGTAGAGTAAGGTAAGAGCATTTAAACTGGCCAATAGCAAGGCTTTAGACATGTAGAATATTCTGGAGTGACTGGATTTTTCTTAGATACCTTAATTTATTGTATATTTCAAGAAATACAGTCTACAAACACCAAATAGCATTGTAGCAGTATTATTCTTTCAGGATAATACAGTCTATGCTGTACCTTGCGTGAGGCCACGTTGCCTGAGTCTCCCTCCTTTATGGAGAGGTACTTAAAGGGGAGTGGGAGTTGCTGTTCTAAGTGTAACTACTAGTAGCGCTGAAGGATATATGTACAGAAATGGCCATCTTGCACGCTGCCTTCTACAAATGGCAAGACAAACTCCCTTTTGCTATGTGGAAGAAAAGGCCAAAAATGTATGTATAATTTTTGCAAGCTTCATCTAGGGTATTATTCTACAAATAATGAAGTCTTGACCATTTTGCAAACGTATTCTGCAGTCCTTTCTTTGTTTTTCTGACATAGCTATGTAAAGACCATGAAAAGATAGGAAATGCTGGTGTACAGTCTTTTATGATCTTGGTCTCAGCTAGGAATCTCAGGCTGCCTAGAGAAAGCTAAAAGCTATGGAACTCCACTTAATTAGCATGCTGATCAAGAAGCAAACTCAATGTTTCTCTCTTTCTGCAGAACTAAATTTATTTTCTGGATAGCATTACAGTGAGTGAAAGGTGTTTCATATTTTGCAGTTAACAGAACACAGTCCATGTAAGACTGAAAGTTGGAAACAGAAATCAGTGATAGTAAGAGATTGTGCCTCAACCTGATGCAAGATACGGCAAGCAGACTACTTGGGCTCTAGCTCAGAGGTTGGCTAGTTTCTATGCCTTGTACAGTGTTTGTCTTGCTTCTAGTGCCTCACTGGTGTGCCCTAGAAAGGGATTCAGGATGTGGAAAATCAAACTGTTCCTCCTTGGTTGGTTGGTGGTTTTTTTGTTTGTTTTTTGTTTTTTTGAAGACATGGTTCTTTAACCTGGGATACTGGAATGGACCATCCTGTCTCATGGAACATGTCCATTTGATTATACCTAGTGATGTGTGGCTGACACACCTGTGTCTGGAATGGATGATGCTGCCAGAGCAGATAATTCTTTTGCTCCTGACTTTCTTCACTTGACATGAGGATATGAACTGGAGCGATCTTTAACTTACCATGTCCTTGGTTTCCCATTGTGGGGATTTTATTACAATGACTACAGAGAAAAATAGGGGTTTTTAAACTTGTGTGTGCAGGTTTAAATGTTGTACACTGACTGAAAGTTCAGTACCAACAGGTGAAGAAAATTCAAACTACATTGTTCTGTGCTTTGGTTTAAATAGATGTTTCCATGTTTTCTTTTTTTATAGCTTCTTCAACAGCTGAAGCGATTAATATGTGACCTCTGCAGATTATATAATCTTCCTCAGCATCCAGATGTTGAAATGCTAGATCAGCCATTACCAGCTGGACAGGTAAATGAAAATGCTGTGGACGCCTCCTTGGAGCAATGAAGGAGTAGGTTTTTTCAACCCCAAGAAACAAGATGGTGGAAATGATGAAACCTTGTGTAAGCCTGAACTAAGATATGAAGCACTGTTGCTTTATGGTGTCCTCTATCTGAATTTGGTTTGCAGAATCCATTTAATAATGGTGTGATAATATTACACCATTTCCTTTGGAGTTTTTGTATCTTTGAAAGGTGTGTATGTGATAGCAGTCCTGTCAGTTTAATTCCTTCCTAAATAATGTTCAGGCCAATCACTGTGCATTCCTAGTGCTTCCAAAATTTACTTTTTCTGAAATGCAAATGTGATTGCCCACTGTTTTCTTTAAGAGTATATGTTTTACAGTGTGCAGTGGGATGAACTACTGTTGATATTTTCCTTCCTCTTCAATCCCTTGCAGAGACATGGGATAGCCAGACCATATGCTACTTTGGATAGGGAGTATCTGTGGTGCCTTGTTTACTTTTTGTGCACTTGACAAATTAAGAGTTGTGAAGGGTTGTGAAATGTTCTGGTTAACTAAATTGTTTTGTGTTGTGCTGCAAACAGAACTGGTAACTGACAGTAACTATTTTTTTCTGTAGTTTTAGTAAGATTATGATAACTTCTTTTGCTTATACATGTTAAAATGACAAGACTTCTAAAAATTCCTGGAGCGTGACAGATGGTTTTCCCGTGGTGGCAGTACTGTAATAATGACAAATAACTTGCTTAATTTTGGTCATGTGCCAAATTGTAATCCTATAGGTCTTTTCTCTCAGCCACCCACATAGCGGTGCAACTGTAAGGCAACAGACCTGTAATATGAAGAAGTAACTTTGTTGAAGAGTCTTACTTATGCTCTGAAACTCAAAAACAAACTCATGGAAGGTTTCTTAGAAATGTCAGGTAATTTGCAAGTTAAACAAGAGCGGCCTTAGTAAGTCAGACCAAAGATCCATCTAGTCCCCTGCATTGTCTACAGCAGTGGCATTCCCTCTTTGCCAAAGGAAGAGTAAGCAGAGCACAAGCTTATCAGAATGGTCCTGACTATTTGTGCAGCTCAGACTTCCTGAGCTGAAGTGGTATCCTGAAATGGAAAGCCGTGAAAAATCAACTCCAGTGTATTGGTTTAGTATTTTATCAAATAATCTAGTAACAATGGCTATATGATGATAGTAGTTGTTGCATAGCGGTTCTAAGTAGCGAGAGAAAAATCCATTACGTTTTAGAGGTCTAAAGTTTGTTGTGTTTTTCTTTTTAGAGATCCTGCATGTATATGGATTCTAGTCAGAGCCATGATCTGATTTCATGGTTAAGAGATCATCAGTTACAACCCACTTGACTTACTGCATTTGTCACTGTCTCAGAATAGGATATCCTTATCTGAATCTTAAGTTTCCACTTAGAACTTAATGTGAAATTATTGTGACATTCTATTTATCTCTACTTCATGCAAAATCTCTTCACTGCCATACTCCAGGAAGGCATCTTTGTGTATCTTTGACATTAAACTTCAGTCCTTTGCAGAAGTGTAACTTTTGTACATACTGCTTTCTCTGTGATAGTAGGCTTCCTGCTTTTGAAAGAAAGGAACGTGTGCACAATTTATGCAGAAACTGCATTGTTGTATTGCAGAATGGAACAACAGAAGAAGTTACATCAGAGGAGGAGGAGGAAGAAGATATGGGTGAAGTATGTGTATATATATGAGATTGTTATCCTAATCGAGTAGAATTCTGGCATTTTGCTCTACAGTGGTTGGCTAATTTTTAAGCCAAACTGTAAAATGTAATCTCCCCTAGAGTTCAACAGAACAGATAATTAAAAATGTGGATGTTTACCTTAATGTCAGCTTTCACTTCGACCACCAACACTAGTGAAATTTTCTTCTTAAACCTAGATCTCAGCTGTGAGGTACTTGGATACAGAGAACTGGACATCTGTTTGTGCTTTAGTCAAACAATACATAACTGTGTGTGCCAAATCAGTAAGTTTGCATTGTTAACTCTGATACAGTTGAAAGTGCCTCCCAAACTGAAGCAGACTGGCTTAAGAGTAAATCATTTTGGTGATTCATTAAACAGGTGAGCTAGTTTTTAACTGTAATACATGAAGGAAATGGAAGGACATCTGAAACAGACACACTAAACCTTTAAGTGGTTTATGTCACTGTCTGGCAACACGGTGCTCCTTTTAAGGAGCTTTTTACCGTGTGAGAACCACCTCTTTCAATTACTTCTACAACATGTTAGAATAGCTCCAAGATGCTTGCTTTTTAAACCACTATAAATAGCCTTATTATGGGAGTATTCTTCTTACTACTTCAGGTTTAGATTTTTAATGAAGAAGGTGGGTAGTAAGAATTAACAACTCATTCTCTGAATTAAAAGGTCTTCCTTTAGATAAGATCTAGATGTTATCCATGTTCTGGGATTAATTTGAAGCAGCCTCTCTTACACCATATTTAGCCCGATCCAGACCACATTTGTTGGAGCCAGAGTTTCTGTAAAGGTAGCATATATGCTCCCATATCCTGCTGCCACAAGGCTCTTGTTGCTTGTAGACTTGTAAGTAGCCTTTTGCACTCTGTTTGGGTTACTTGAGACAAAAAAACTTGTCATGTTTGTTATAAGCTGTCAGGTGGCATTGTGTGTGGCACTGATATCTTCAACTTGTAATCTAGTCCAATTTCTAAATTGAAAAGCAACTTACTGTTCCTAGGGCCGTATCATTATTTTGAGAAACATGAGCATTTTAAAGCATGCTCAATCTAAAATCTGTTACAGTTGGGAGGAAACAGTGCTGTCAAAGGCACCACATAGGTGTGTGTCTTAGTAAGTAAGACATTCTTGAATTTGCATTTATGTCCAGGTTTTCCTGCCATGCTAACAGATGGTGCGTAAAGAGTAGCCACAGGTGTAGTGGAGCGCTGTGTATTAGAGTATATCTGAGAGTTGTGTACTCACGGCTTGCTGGTGTGGCTGCTGTAGTGCTTCCTTTTTCATCTCAAGGTATTTACATCCTTCCCCTCCTCTCCACAAATAGCACTTGAATCACCTTACAGGCAGCTGTCTTAAGTTCATAGTGCTCCTCTGCAACAGGATAACCCCATCTCGGAATACAGAGTGGAAGATTTTTCAGTGGCTTAGTCTAGAACTCAGAACTGTGTGATCAGGATTCTTGACCACATCATTTTGTCTCATATTCTAATGCTGCATCTAAGCTTCAGCTGAAATGTTCACCTTGAATAAAGTACGTGTTGCTTTCTAATATTTAACTTTCTTGAAGGGTTGCTGTAGCCCTGCCAGATACTAATCATTGTTTGCCAGAAGTGTAATATAGCTAGGATTCTAATTGAAGAGAAGAGTCTGCTTTTAGAAACATCTTGGAGACGCCCTAACTTTGGGTACTTTTGGATTCTTGAGCCCTGTTCAAAATGCCTTAACTTCCTGTTTTCTGTCTACTTTAATGGGCTAATTCACTATAATCTTAACTTCTCGCAGAGGTTTTATTGTGCTTGTTTCTGTAACCAGAAACACGTTGTGAATTTGGGTCTCGTTTGTATTGTGAAGGCTCCCTACGCTTCCGGTGAATGCTGTTGGCTGAGAGAGTGAAGTTGGAGCGAAATAGAAATGGCATCCGACAATCACTAATACATAGTGTTGTGCAGTATGCGACTGTATCCCTGAATGCCCTCAGAGAGGGTGTTCTTGAACGAAGAGCATAGTTAAGTTATTTACAGTGAATTTTCCTCTGTCCTGTAGGACATTGAAGATCTGGATCACTATGATATGAAGGAGGAGGAACCAGTTGACGGGAAGAAGTCTGAGGATGAAGGCATTGAAAAAGAGAACCTTGCAATCTTAGAAAAAATCAGGAAAAATCAAAGGCAAGATCACTTAAATGTGAGTTAATGATTTATGTTTTTTTCTTTGTAATACTTCTGGCTTTCAAAGAGAAAGGGTTTTCAGCAAATAAAGCCTACTGCTATGCACCTAGGCATAAATTAACTTGTAGCTGACTTCCAGCATGTATGGGACAAACGTCTCAAGTTAGGGGACCTAAATAGCCAGTTAAAATTCCAAGGTCATTTAGTAAACGGACTCATCTTTCATCAAAATCTTTGGCGCAGGAAGTCGCTTGTCAGCCGCATCCCACAGAGGCGCAAAAACTACTTCAAAGCACACTCATTTGGGCTGGGAGAATGCCATCATAATTTCTTTTGTCAAACTGTGTTGGGGTATTCTTGGCGTTTTTGGATGAAGAAGCATCTTTCAGCTTTTCAGTAGAATCAACTCTTAGATGTAAATCCAGGTTTCGCACTTGTTAATGACTTGTTGCCCCTCCGTCTCTTGCTTGCTGCCTTTGTTGCAAACAATAGTCCTCCTTGCAGGATCGGCAGAAAGCATCTAGATTGTAAGAATGACTTTTGTGGCTGAGACCTTATTAAAATAACAAATAAAGCTGTATATAAAACTGACTGCCTTAAAAGTCATGGGTGACTTAACATACTTAGTAAACCCAGGAATTTCTGCTGTAAGTCCGTTTTATGCATGAGTTTGTTTTTCAGTAATACCGACACCACTTGGAAATTACTGAAGGGTTATGTGGTTTTTTTTGCCAGACACGAAGTAAGGGACCTTCAGCAGCTCTGCAGCTTTATTATCACAGTTTTCCGAGTGATCCTGCCAGCAGGCAGTTGTAAAAAAAACCAAAAAAACAAAACAAAAACCCCAAACCTGTTTGTTCTCCAGAGGCTTAGAAATGTTTTGTCACAAATGCCAAGTTCCAGCGAAGCTTCAGCTTCTCAAAGCTGCATGTAGGAGGGAATGATGATGTCATACAACCTTAATTTTATTTAGCCTGGCTTCCAAAAAAGTCAAAACTTTTGTTTCACAGAGGCTTAAAATGTGTAATGCATGAAATTCAATACTTCTGTTCAGGACCAATTTCAACCAAAGCTAAGGGTTCTAAAATTTTCGTTGGTCGCCTGTACAGAAAGAACGTGCTTAAATTGGTGCCCTCCACTGTGGGAGCTCCTAAGTTTTTATACGCTGTTTGGCAAGTCAGCAGACATGTAGATCATGTCCAGACACAAGATGTGCTATTTCTCATTAAGCTAGTAGGTGAGGATGTGAACAGTAGTTAGGTACAGAGGAGGGACCTGTAAATATTTAGGGAAGGAATAAGATTTAGGATTGGTATGTCGGGAATACCTGGATTTTTGCCCAAGGGAACCAGCTTTGTTCTAGTTCTTTCACTTGATGATTTTTCCAGTAAAAAATTTCTAAAAAGTCTAAATTGCACATTAGATTTAAGAGCATTGCTGTTGTAAACCCTTTGATTTGTAGCGAGAACTAGATACATTCAAAGTGCTCAGTGCTAGCCAAGCCAATCCGCTTTTAATATTGGATACACTCCTGATCTATCTAGTTGTCATAAGAATTTAGGGAAAAGGCTCCTTTAGTTAGCAGAATCTTGACTATTTCCTGTCATGAATTACTGGCACTAAATAACTTTAGTTTAGAAAAAAACCCTCTTTTTTTTAGTTACTGACACTTCAACATGGAAAAGATTCAGTTCATAGCCATCTACTTTGCAAAGAAAATAAAATAGAAATGCGTCTGTCGGAGTTCTTCAACCACAGGTTTTCTGCTCCTGTCCCAGTGCTGTTTTGGGATATGACTTGAGTGCAGACCTGTCAAAAATACTTTTGACTTACGGTCTGCTGAAATAGGCAGCGTGAGATAGCTGGCTAGAGGAGACTGTTCTTTGATTTGTATATGAATTCATACATACCACGTTGTCTGAAGGAAAGTGTGCAGTAATGATCACACCTCAAACTAAAACAAACAAACCCCAAACCAACCAACCAAAATGCCAAACCTGATCAGCGTTTCAGTATTCAAAAGCGGGGAAACATAAGTTGCCAAATACTTTGGCTGTATAGTCAAGCCTGTTTTAAGACTTGACTAACCATAAACAAGAGTGGTCACCAGATTTGTTTAAACTTAACTGTTCAGATTTTGAGAAGATGCCTGTTGAGATTCTGTGTTATTTCTGTATTTATAATTCTGACCTAGTGTTAAAGAGTCCTCGATTGTTAAATAAAATAAATCCTCTTGCAGCCTGAAAGATGCTTTGCCATCATCTAAAAATTTGGTAGAACTGAAAAAAGGTTTTCATAGTGTCAACAGTGTTTAAAGGTGTGGAAAGCCTATTAAAACTGCAGATTTTCTTTTGCTGTCTGTTCTTTCCCATTTGCCAAATACTGGCCTTCCTTTTGCTTTTTCCTTCTACATCTAGTGGAGCTGAAATGAACACTGCTGGGTTTTTTTGTTTGACAACAGCAGATTCAACTTACATAATAGCTGTTTCTCATGCCAAGACACTTTCGTTGATGCTGGTGCATAAACAAGGTCAGCTGAGTACAGGGAACAGGGTATTCAGCTGCTGCTGAGGAACTGTGGTATTTTTGTGGGTCACCAGAAATAGCTGCGCTGCTTAAATAATTTCTCAAAGGACTTGTCAGGGTTTACTCTTAAGTGCTTGAGAATTTAAAAGTAGAGCTGCACTAGTAACCCAGGAAAGAGCTAACCTAGTAGCACTTCAATGCCCCTTTTATGCTGCCAAAGCACAGGACTTTCAACAGAATGTGTTAAACACGCTCTAAGATAGGAGAAGCTTGCTCAGTATCCTAACATAAAGCAAAGTTTCAATCTGTACAGCCCTTCACAGTGGGTTTTCTGAAGGGACAGCATGGGTTTCACAAACGTAAATGTAGTACCTGAACATGGTCTGTGCTCTCTTGGTGTCCTTTGTTTCCTCAGCAGAGGAAAGTGAAACAAAGCCTGTGCCATTTACATGCTTGTTGTTGGAAGAGGGAACGTGAAGCCTAACGTGGAGCTTTGACTAGTGCGCAGTGCGACCAGAAGACTTCTCGGTTTCTTTACAAGTTCATTGGCCCAAATCCATGGGTCATCCTCTCTCCCCTTGGCTGAAATGCAGGTTGAAAATGCGGATCATGCTGAAGGTTTTTCCATAGGGAAGGGGTGGTGCTGTCTAGTTTTCACATACTCTTAACAGGTTAAAGACATTTTTCTGCTGCTGAAGACTTTTGTCATTGGAGTTTTTAGGGTTTGTGTGTTTTATGCACGTTAAGAATATGTATCTATTAATTTTGTAAACTAGTTCTCTTCCTTGGCAGCATCCCTGATCCTATTCTTCTTGCTGGCATCAGAAAATAAACTTAAATTTGGCTTGCGGTACAGTATGTAACTTGGAGCAAGAATTAATCCTCCTCTGAACATTGTAGTAACTTTAAAGAACCACTTGCTTACTGGGGATAAAAAATGGTCTTTGAACTGGAATAATTAACTTCAAATATTTAACAACTTGCTGCTGCTTGCTTTTCAGAGGTCTCTCCCCGCATAGTCATTTTAGAGATTAATGCTTTTCTTATTTAGATAATGCTATTAGCTTTTCCATTTCCTACTGAGGAGTTTATGCACTTTCCTTTAGAAGTCTCAAATGTTTCCACTTTCATCTTTGGATTTTATGAAGTCTAAGGTGTCATTTCCATTTTCAGTCTGATCCTTGAAGTAAGTATGAATCTACTTTTAACTTGCAGGAATGAATGTACTTCTGCACAAATACTGAAAAAATTCAGTGTCAAATGAGCAACCTTGTATTCTTTAGCTCTTTTTATGTCACTTTAGATTTTATGTTATTATCTTGGAGGAGTTTCAATTTTTTGTGTTTCGTTTTAGCAGGTAATTTTTGGTCTTGTGGCTGGATTATCTGAAACATACTGCAAGTGAGGCGATTTTTTGTTTTGATGTGTGATGGTATTTTTCTGATCAGATGGAAAACAGACAATCCGGTCTTTGGATTTAAAACTGTAGTGAACTGCACCTCCTACCCCCAGATAACTCATTTAAGGTGCAGACTGTGGTTGTGTTTTGAGAGGTGGAAGGGGGGAAGAAAATGTCCATAGGAGAAAAGCTGAGGCTGCAAAACCTCATCTCTCTGGAGACTTAGTGCATCAGACAGTTAGGACAGTGGCATGTGCTGTGCAGATTGCTGCATGGTTAGGTGTGCCCTGCTGACTTGTGAATGCCGAAGCTCACTTCTGAAATCCTAGTTTTCTTAGAAGTTGTTTAACTGTTCTGTAAAGTGTTTTACTCAAATTTGTACTTTCATGCTTAAAATACTAATTAAGGATAGAAATACTTCTGAAATGCCTAGAATGACTTGGGCCAAATTTTCATATTTCTGACAGTGGCAGAAGCACATCCTTACAGGGAAGAGTTTAAGACAAACTTGTAGTGATGCCTCTCATGAATATTTTTCGTGTCCAGCGGTTTTGGCTCTGGGAATTCCTTTCTGTTATTTGCAACTCTCAGCAAATGGCATGTTGTCCACGTGAACGTTGACCTCCGTAGCAGAGATTTCTCCGGCTTACCTGCTCCTTGCTCTGGAGAAGCACAAGTATGCTTGTACAGGAGTGGATGAGACTTTTTGATTACTTAATTGGAAAAAGTCACTCGGGGCTTGTCTGGCAGCTCTTAACTTCTTCAGTTTACGGATCAAATGGCTATGCCTTTCTGCTCTTGGCATCAACCCCATGCAACAGATACCCGTCAGATCCCATGATTGACCAGTTATTTCTAAGGCAGTCGCAACTATAAGTCTCGATCTCACAACTGGAGAAAGTCCCCCTTTTCCAGAAGTATACGTAGATAGTTACATCTGAATTCAGTCTTTGAAATGATAACTTGCATATAGCGAATTATTGAAAGTTAAAGTTTTTATTTTTGGTGTTTCAGAGCAGTGGTGTTTGGCATTAAGGTTACCATCAGGTATAGCAGTTAATCTCTGCAGGCTTCCTCTTCAGCTTCCTCCAAGGGAGGTTCAGAGCATGCAAAGGAAGCTCCTGTGGTAAACTTCTTAGGGTTAAGCTTGCCAGTTTCTTTCTCTTGATCATAATTACTGGTTTGCAGTCTGTTGACTCTTTTAGAGTAGCAAGTCTAGCTGTATTTAATACTGCTATGTAAAAAGTGGGCAGCCCAACTGGAAACTCCCAGGAAAAAAGGGTGAAAAACACTGCTATAGACAAAGCCTACTGAGGCTAGTTTACACACACTAAAATTAACTTCTTTTTTTTAAATACCACTTCAGTTTATCAGCAGTTGTAATGGCACTCAGGAGCATGTGGGCATGTTAACTTTTGTTTTTTAAATTACTACAGTACAGAAGATACTTAAATTTTCATATGCAAAGGTGAGCTTCAAACATTGTACACAGAAATTCAGTAGCTTAATTTGATGGAAATAAAGATGCAACGAGGAAACTAGTTTTCCGCAGGATATCTTTGAGGATCTAAGTTGTTTTTCAATTGCCTGTGTTTAGAGGTTGATATTCTGTGAAAAATGTTAAAAAAAAAAAAAAAAAATCCCTTTTTTCAGCAAGCAATATAGCAGATGAGACAAGGATATTGAACAACCAAAACCTTGACACTTCTCTCTGAAGTTTCTTTTCCTCTGGACTGAACACATTCATGAGTCTCAACCTTAACACTCACAGCAGAGGTCTGAAAAAGCACAGCGATTTTACAGAGAACGGTGGTTAACACTGCATTGTGTTAACTTGTTAAGTGTCATGCTTCCTTTTTCAGCTAATCTGCAAACAGTGGGTCTAAATAGTAGTAATCTGCAAATGATGTAAACAACCAGGGTTTTTTCTATAAAACTCGCTTGCTCTTAAAAGAAGAGCAATCCCTTTGTCTGATACTGCTTTATAGACAGGTGCTTCAGTAAAGTGAGAAATGACTTACCTGGAGCCCTGTCTTTATGTAGCTTTTGTTTAATCAGATGGAAAGTGTTCCCTTTTATTTGGATATTTAATTACTAAGTTCGTTCCTCATACTGGTCCATTAAGAAAAACTAGTGGATTTCAGTAATCTGTATAATTAAATCCAGTGGAATATGAAAATGAATAGCCTAAAAGAATAGTCTACAGATTATAGTGTGAAGCTAAGTGTAATATATGATGTTACTAAACAGAGGAGACAAAGGAGTATGTGGAGGCTTTAGCATCAAGTAGCTAGTACTGATATTTAATACTTATTAAGCAATAATTTGATCCTACAGTTAAGACCTTGTAGAATATATAATATCACTGTTGACTTCAGGCAAACAGGGATGACATTGCAGGTATTAGACAATGGTCATAGCTGCTTCAGATTCCTCCAGGAGTACTTCTCTGACACTTCTGTCCAAAAAGGATCTGTTTGTAGATGTTCATGGTGTCTGAAAGGAAACTGAAGACACAAATCGCTTCAAATTTTTAGATGGAGTAGAAAAACAGACCCATAAACTAATCATTCAGTACTTCACAGAGAGGCTGAATTTAACTTTATTCTAAGTGGGGGCTTTTTTGTCTTTGGGGTTTTTTTTAGTTCCCCCCACCCTGGAAAGCACGCTTATGAGCCACATGTATTAGCCTGTATTGCAGTGGGAGCGACTGAAGTCCGAGCAGCAGCAGAGAACTCCATGGTTCTCATGAAATGATCTACCTTTGGGAAACTGACTGCCGTGAAAGCCAGAGTTTCACAGGGACGGGATTCAGGGTGATAGCTGCCTTACCTCATTTGGAGTCCTCGTTCCATTTCCATATTTTAAATCTTGTAATGCTAATTTTTATATCTGTTTTCCAAAAATCTTGAATGTAAAATGGTGTTTTGGATGGAGTATATATAAGCAGGGTAATCATGTAACATCTAAGATTCAGTATCAAAATCTTTCCTGCTAGCTTTGGCATTGAATTGAAGAAAGAAATTAGGTTCTTTTGGTGATCATGTTACTTTAAATAAGCACTTGAATTTTGTAAGAGGAAAAAGTTCTGTCATCACTTTAAAGCTCAGAAAATTGAGGCAAAAGCTCAGAAAATTGAGGCAAAAGCTCAGAAAATTGAGGCAAAAGTTAATACCAAGGTCATAGAACGTTGAGGATGTATGCAGAATATATCCAGTGCAGCAGTTGTTGATATAAGTAGACATCAGTTACTTGGTAACTGGTGTGTTCATTAGTTTGTCAATAACTGGTAGTTTTTAGAGCCTGTCATGTTTGATATGCATGTCACTTAAAGGTCTCCCTTTTCTCTTTTTTTTTCTTTCTTTTTTTTGCTTTAGCACTGTATTTCAGGCTGAAATACCAGGTTCAGAAATCATATGCTAAGTTTTCCATCCCTTTGAGATGCTGAGTAATACAGAACTGAGCTCTAAAAGAATAGATTTCTGCCCTGGTTGCATAAACCACAAGAACTATGAAAAATCACAACAAAATATTTGGTATTTTAAGGTTTACTTACCCTAGTCTTTGTCTGTGTAGGTGTTGATTTTTATTTTTTTTTTTTCCACTCTATTGCAAATAATAGCGTTGCTTTTGTTCTGCATTTTCTGAATATGTCGGTTGGGCTTCATCCAGAAGCTGATGTTCTATAGTGGATAGTTTCCAACTCCTGTACCATTTTTCATAATCAAGTAAAAATATACTTCTGAGAAAACAGCAAAATACCTTATGTGCGGAAGCTTGTTCTTAAGATTAGTTGTACTCTTCCTTCCAGTGCATAAGAGCAGAAGGTAAAAGGAAATATTTCCCTGTGTAGAAATGTACTGTGGATCTATCTTGGAAAGCAAAATGCCGGAGAGATTAAACTCCTTTACAGAAAAATAGATCTGTTGTACCTTGATTAAAAGTGCGTATAAGCTATACCATATCGTAGTATGTATTAATGTGCTGCTTCAGAGGGAGTGTCTTGTTTCTTTTGAGTAGTCTTTGCTCACTAGAATATGTAACTTTTCAAAAACCTGATCCTAATAGAGAAATTAATATATTCTTAATACCTTCTAGTTAGTGTGACTTTGTAATGGAAATAAAGCTGTTTGATGTAAATATTACTTTTTACTTATTTGGAGTCTTTTTTGTTTGTTTGTTTTCAGGGTGCAGTCTCTGGGTCAGTTCAGGCTTCAGATCGACTTATGAAAGAACTCAGGGATATATATAGATCACAGAGTTATAAAACAGGTAAAATGCTTCAGGTTTCCCTTCTTAAAATATACTTTGAAAGAATTCTCTTGGCAAATACTTCTTGCTAATCCTTCTGTGTTTTGTTGTCATATGTATATACATGTGCGTGTATATATGTGTACACATATATAAAAAAATAAAAATCGATACACTATATATAATCTCATTATCTAAAATAGTGTATTTGTGGAGAAAAAGGAAGTTGGGATACATATCCTCTAAAATGTTCTTCCTTTTTGTTATGCAAAGCTTCATGTGAGAATTAACAAGGTTGGTGTAACAATGAGAATGCTTTTGGGGTGGATGACTACAAAGAACAACTCAAGATTACTCCTGTGGGACTTCTTTAGTTTTCAGGCCTACCTGAAATTCAGCTCTCCAGCTATATAGAGTAAAAGCTTTGACCACTGCCAGTGGGTAGTACTGTTCACAAGAATATACTGGCTGTAGAGGGATTTGTGTTCAACAGCAGAAGGTTTTGTTACTATACAGGGTTTAACCTTAATTATGCTGCTGTTACTTTTATTATTTTGTGATGGTATTAATCTGATCCTGAGCTCCATGTATTCCTTGGAATAAGGATACAAGTGGCAATAGAAAACAAGCTTGTCTTTTAAATTTGTTTGAATAACAAACACTGATTAGCTGTAGGTAGGTGGTTGGCTGTTCTGTTTGCTCCGTATAAGGGCTGTATCTAAACTAGCTCGGCAATGGAATCAGTTGATTGAGTTGTCTGGGTGTTACCATACAAGAAGTAGAAATTACATAGATTTCAGGCAAGTTGTATTCCTGTAGGTCAGCTGAGTAAACGACTCCATCATTACGGCCAGGTATGAGAACCTGGTGCAGGCCAGGATGGGAGCAGGAGGAAATGCCCAGTTAAAAAGTCAGTCTCAGCTTTAGTCCTCTGTGTTTTAGTTTTCTGAACTTCTCCCCTAGTTTATTTCTAGTAGGCTTAAATCTCAGTTGGTGGCTACAGCATTTTAACTTGTGTGAAAGGACAGAGTTGAAGAGAAAATAGGCTTCTTGTTTTGATATGCCAAATTCACCTTTTAGGTAAATAGTTTTATGTGCTGAAGTACTGTGGACAATGGTTAGAAATCTGAAGTTTAAATTTGATTAGATAACCTTGTGTTGATCTAATGTAGCCTACATTTAGGCTTTATTGCAACTGAGGGTGTGCCAGTGTGCCCTAATCACCATCTGTCTGGTAAAGAATGGATTAGTGGGTCTAAGGAAGAGCCCAGAAATAGATCTGTATGAAGTCATGAGGGATGCTTTACCCTGCCCATGTATGATCTTCAGTGTTTGATTTATTTTTTTTTTGGGGGGTGTGTGTGTGTGTGTGTGTGTGTGTGTGGTATGGTTTTTGGTTTTGGTTGTTTTTGTTGTTGTTGTTAGAACAAAGATTGGGTATAACAAATCTACCTGACTATAAAGACTGTATGGTGCTTAGTCACATAGTGGTACTGCTTGAGGCACAACCAGGAGCCCCTATAATAATAGGTGTAGTTTGAGGTGTTTGGCTTGCTTAATAATGCCATTTCTTGGCTTTAGATTAATAATAAGTCTTAATTGCAAAAGACTGAACTCCTGGTGTAGGAAATACTCTAAATGAAGATGAAAAGTAAATCTTGCTTAAGAAAGTTGAGATGCTAAAGGATGAGTATAGTAACTTAGTATTAGCTTCTGGCTCAGGAATATGTAAAAAGACTACAACTGGATGCCTTGTGTGGATCTCTGAAACATGTTAACAAAGCGTCAGGTGGAGGTTGACACCATAAAACTGATGGCAATCCTGCTTTGAAACGCTGTCCTACTGATACATTTATTAAATTTTGCCAGTAAATGGTGCTGTTTGTTGTATAACTTACCTAGAGTCATTCCTTATGGCTTCATTTAGTCTTAGGACTTGAGTGAATTCAAGTATCGGCTCGTCTCCTTTGCACAAAACTCCTGCTTTTATAGCTTAGATCTGTCTTTTGCTGTTGGATAACTGTCACCATGTGAGCAGGGGCATGGTAGATAATTGATTTATTTTTTTTTAATGTGATCTTTGTTCCGAGTACTTGTTCCATGGACCGTTTTCCCCTTAATATAATTTCTTACTCTTAACACACAAAGGGAATCATTGTGAAATTTAAAGGTTCTGGTAACTGTTGCAAGGTAATTTAACACTGTTTTCATTTCTTGTAATACATGCCAGAAAATCTAAGGCTGCTTTTTAGTTGCATAAGAATCACTTTATTTAGTGTATGTGAGGTTACATGTTTTCAGGATTGACAATAAGCACTGGGACTTCTGAAATGAATAGTACTTGTAGGAATAGTCCTTTAATTTTATTCTCTTCTGTTAAACTGTTTTATGAAAAAGTAACATTAAAAAAATACTGTTAGGACTTCAACCACGGGTGTATATTCAAGGTAGTATCCATTTTAGAACTGAAGTTCCCTTAGTGATTAAAACACTACTGTTGCAGTTCAAGTGACAGGCGACAAGCTTGCTGTCAACAGGAAAGTTGCTTAGCTACCTGGAAAGTCTAGGTGAAGAACTACCCTGAGAACAAACAGAAGACCGTTTTCCTACAAGCTAACAGAAGCAAAAAAATTCCAGCAAGTTATGATATTCTGCTATAAATTAGACAGACCTTCATCATCAGCCTGTTTTGATAATAGGAGTCACAAATCCTCCAGAATAAGATGATCTCATGTCCTCATATGAAGTGGGACATTTGGTTAGTTCATATGGAGGAATTCACAAAGGTCTTAACATAATTTGGGGGCGGAGGGAGGCGGTGAACAAAGGATTTGGGGATATTAAGTGAAATCTTTTCTCTTCATAACTTTATTGGCTGTGTTGTTCATATATAGTGACTTCAACTCACCGCTTTTATCCAAAGACTGCATGGGATTTATTTCCGGTTGTAGTAGAGTTGCTATAAGTAAGACATTGCCTCTATTTTGCAAGGGCTTGTTTTTCTTCCTGTGTTGTTACCTCTGTTTTTTTGCTTGCTTCCTGGTTCTGTCTGCTTGCTTTTACTTCATCACCTCCATGCATGGCCTCTTAGAGGAATAGAACAAAAAACCTCTTGTGTTTAAGTGAGGGGAACCTACCTTGATTCTCTTCCCTACTTTAAGGACCTCTCAGAAACTGGCACTAATCATACAAATTCTTCTTGACAGTAGCTGGTTTTCCTCTTAATGCCTAAATTAAGAGAAAAGCATATGAGCTGGTTCCAGATAACACATCTTGACTATTAAAAAACCAAGCAAACAAAACCCCCCTCAACTTTGGATAATGTCATTAAGAAGCTTCTGTGTCAAAACAGTGAGCAGCCCTGATGCTGTTCCTGTTCATGAGGACATACAGACACTATTCAGCTCAAAATGTGGGGGCTTGAAAGGTTGATTAAGTAGCTCTCTGTTCTGTTAAGGCACATTTCTTTCAGGCCTGAACTGTGTGCATCTCTCTGAAGAACCCTCTTAGAGTATCTGGTTTAGGTACAGTACAGCTCTTAAGACCAGCAAAAGTTACTACTTTGGGGAAGCTAGCAGAACACATGGGCTTCAGTAAGCTGTGGAGCTGAAGGACTGACCCATAATTCTGGGTAAGAGCAGGACCTTTAGGGTGGTGGAAGGAACGCGGGAACAGGGCTGGAGGCTTAGTGAATAAACAAGCTGATGGAAGGTCTCTTGTGATCTTCCATTGTTTAGGATGTTGTCAGAATCCTTACTGTAACTTGTTCTCTTGTCTGTAACAAGTATTTTATACTCGTGCTAGGTGCCAAAGCCGTGATACCGAGAGGCTGCTTCTTCCAGTCTTCACTCCCTTTTGGATGTAGGTGGGAGAAGATATTCTGGATTGTAACGGTGGAATAGGTTAATCATTAATAGGAGTTGACAGTGAGCAGAGTTCTGAATGTCATCTCTTCTGTTGTTACATCAGAGCAGTACAAATTGAAATTCTTATACTTCCTGACTTCCACTTATACTAAGGGCAATTCAGAAAATAGCATCCTTGGATCTGGGAAATTGGAAAAAGGCCTTAATAGCTCCTTCTGTTCACCCTTGAACGGAGAAGTGTGGCATCTCTGAACTAGCTGCTGATTAAAAAGGACATTGAGAGCACAGTGAGTAAGTTTTTAGACTTACTTTGTTGTCCTAGGTTTAGGAAAAATTGAAATTGTGATCTTGGCTGCAGTACCCACTTCTTTGTGGCACTGCAGTAAGGAGAAACAAGCATGGTTCCTTTACCTTGTGTACTGAATTTTGGAATGCTTTAGAAATAAAGATATCTAGACAGCTTGAAATGTCATCTCTTCTCCAAGTATGAATGCTTAAAAGTTTCAACTGCAAGATAATGCATTCTAGAATAATAAAACTCAGAAATGAGTACTGTAGCTCCTTGGAGAGACTGTGATGACTGCAGTCTGTTGGTTGTGTAGCCTTCAGAAATCCTAGGCGGATTCCCGATTTGCGTGTCTTCCCTGAATAATTACGTCGGCAACAGATATGCCGTTACATATTAGCCCAGGTAACAAGTTTAATCGTAGTTGTTTAATGTGTATGCATGAATAGTCTGTGGGGGAAGAGATTAGACTTTTGAACATCACTGATACCATTTTCTAAATCTTGTCTGATGGTTAAAGATTTACTGCTTTTTCCTGGGCTGCTTGTGAACTTCTGCAGAGAAGAAGCTTGAATACACAAGAAAATGGCAGCTAACCTTTCATCCTTCCCGTTGAGTGAAGTGCATAACTATGGTTTAACATGCTTAAAATAAATGGACCACTGAAAATCACCAGCTGGCTGCCAGAGACGGCTGGTTTTTTGATGGAACTTTCTGCCGCCTTTGGTCAGCTGTTGGGAATGTGCTTCGCCCAATGCTGTATCTTCTTTTTCTGAGTTTCTACTCCATACGCTGTCCAGTGTCCTGTCCTGGTCTGCCAATACTGATGAGAACCGGTGAAATGCAATGCTGCATACTCGGGCTGCGTGTTAAGTGGTTTAAAAGTGCGTTGGTCATGTATTGGGTATAAAATATACTGAGTACTAAGCAAGCTGGAGTTGTAGCTGTGGAAAATTTAAAGGGGAGCTGGAAGTGGGGAAATGGTTAAGTGTCAGAAAAACATTTTGATTCATGTGGAATTTTTTTTTATAGAAGTGAAAGAACTTTTCTTCCTTGTACTTACTCAGAAGTGCTTCTGCTATTGGAGGAAGGATGTGCCATCAGTATCTCAGTGTCTTACCTATTGCTTAGACCTACTGACAGTATTTGTACTTAAAAGTAAAAATGTTTTTGCTAAATTTTACCTTGTTAAACTTTTAGTGCATAATTAATTCTATCTCATATTTCTACAGGGATATATTCAGTGGAACTGGTAAATGACAGCTTGTATGAATGGCACGTTAAGCTTCTAAAGTAAGTTATTAAAGTTTTTTCGTGAAGAATGTGTTTTATTAGTGCTACAGAGTTTCTTTCTTTTGATAAATGAGAATCTCTAGCCAGAGCATATAAAACGGTGTGTGGTGGTTACAGTTCTGGTGTATGGAAATGCTTGCGGAGACTGAGCTGGCAAAAAAGCAAACCCTCTTTGCACAGCCAACACAGGGTTTATTACTGTAACTTTCATTACTGTTCAATTCTCTTTCCAAAACTACTCCAAAATATGAAACCTTAAACGATGAAATTTTTTGTTTAGAGTTTTTGTCTGGATGGTTTTAGTTTGGTTTTGTTTTTAATTTCAAGAAAATGCAACTCGTAGTTTCATGCAAGATGTAAAAAGGAACAGAACTGTCTTAGTGCCATTAGTTGTTTATTTCTACAGTTGAGCAGGCACATAGGACCGAAACTTTTAGGTATAACATAATTACGACTTACATAATTATATATAAACCTGTCTTTTCTTATGTATTGCTTTTCACTGTGTGTACTAGATGATAACTCATCTTGTTGTGTCCATAGTCCAGTAACTTTAATTCTAGAGGTATTATATTGAAATTATTCCTGCTAACAGGATCATCTGCCATCATCTTACAAGATAACCTGTAGGGAGGAAAAGTCTATCCAAACTAGGCTGGGTGGCTGCAAAAGATGACAAGAGATGAAAGAACTTCCATCAGTTCAGATTTGTCATGGTTAATAAGTGTAAGGGTATAAGCTGTTTCAGTCTAATAGTTGACCTGCCCATAGGAATAGTTGCCTTGTCCTGATGGCAAGACTTGTACAGCTATGTCACCAACTGCTGAAATACGGTTTTATTTCCTCCTTAGCGTAGTCGTAGGCATGTGAACATTTTGAAACTGAAAATGGCAGGAACGACGTATGTCAGAAAAATCTGTGCCATATTACAGGAGGCCTTGTCTATCGAGCGCTTCAATAACAAAGTGCTCAAACCACTGTGCAGGGATTTGAAACCTCTTTTCAAGTGCTGTGAGTGGGTCTGATGTTCTGCCTTCAAGAAAGGGAAAATGGAGTCCGTGCAGCAAATGGCTTCCACAATGATTTAGAGAAGATAAAAAGTACTGTGTGTGTTTATCCCAGCAAAAAGTGTCTGAAAACACATGAACTGTGTGCAGACCAGTTGAGGGGGTAAATGTCAGCGAGAAAAGAGCCCCTTTGCCCAAGGAGCGGTATTGTTACTAGAAGAAATAACCCTGAACTTGCCTAGTACAAGCCAGGCTGGAAATGATAGGTTTCTAAGCACAGGGAGATTTTTCTTCTGAAACAGCTTCCTGTTGGTAGGATGGGGACAAACTACCCATGTAATTCTGAAATAAGATCTAATAGGTTTGCGGTTTCACCTGTAGCAGAGGATTGGATTTAATAGTCCATCGTTTTGTTTAACGTCTGTATTTGGCTTGCTGCAAGCATTTTTTGACTAGTCTCTCTTAAAAGCTGCTGGGTTGTCAGAGCCTGGGTGGGATTGACCCAGTAGTGTCTGGATTAAATGTCTAGGCTGCTCACCACCAGCAGTTTGCAACAAACAATTGTTGAAATTCTGCTGAGCAGAAGCTGCTGGCTTTAGTACTTCTGCTGATCCAGATTACTTTTAACAGCAGATACAGAATTGTGATCACATATTCAATAAAGGATTCACTAACTGTGTACTGAATACTAGATCACTACAGCCTTCCTGTTAAAATTTTTTTTTTGGACATAGATTTTTCCAGTGAACTGAAGAGAATTAAAAAATTGTTGTTTTCAAATAAAGAGGTTATTTTCTGCTAACTGTGTTCCAATAACACTTGATAGAGTTGGGAACGTAGTGCATGGTAGCAAGCTTACATGCTGATCTCATGGCAAAGTGTTAACTTTATAAAGGGAGCAAGAGTTTTCTACAGTTCACTTCAAATTGCAGTTTGTAACTACAGATACATAAAGGAGCTTTTCAAGAGTAATTACTGTTTGCACGTAGTGAAAATACTCACTTCATCCAAGATCTCCCCCTTGCTTCTTTTATAGAGTTGATCCTGATAGCCCACTGCATAGTGATCTTCAGGTCTTAAAAGAAAAAGAAGGCGTAGAATACATTTTACTCAACTTCTCTTTTAAGGTATGTGTCTATGGGAAGAAATGCTGGGGTTAAATTTGTTGCTTACTGTAGAAATGACCTTCAGCTGTTACTTGGGTGAAGATGAAGGTGTAGCGTTAAAAAAAAAAAAAAGGAGGCAATTTTAAGTGTGGCACTAAAGCTTCCCAAAGACTGCTTTTTAGCCAGTATTGTGGAAATGTGACCTTGACACAACTGAAAAATGTTACTGCATTAAATGGGATTTGCCGAATAAGGCTACTGAAATACTTCCTGGTTAGGAAATCGCTGTCACAATATAGTTCTTAACCTGTTTTTTGTTATGCTTTTCAGGATAACTTCCCTTTTGATCCTCCCTTTGTGCGAGTGGTATCTCCTGTGCTCACAGGAGGGTAGGTTTGAGTTGCCTTACAGAAATTTTACTTTGTGGTAAAAATATTCCAGCTCGGGATGGGTTGATTGGGCTTGAGGGAATATTTTGAGAGTGCTATGTAGACTGCAAGCAATTTCCTCTAAGTATATGCGTGAGCTGCTGCAGACCTTGAGTTTAATGAAGAGCTCAAAGTGTCATGTGAAGGCTTGCTTCTCGAGCTTTATGAACTAATAGTAGGCAAACAGCCGGGCACAGTTCCTCTTTGAATTGCTTAGTTTGTGTCTGGCTCTGAATGACACTGTGCCTGCCGTAATGTTGAAGTGGCCTCTTTGTGGACGGTTAAAGAGCTTAAAGTGCTGTGAACAGTTTCATCATTTTACTGACTGCTGATGTCAAATATATTTTCTTTCACGTTTGTTTCTAGGTATGTCCTTGGCGGAGGTGCGTTATGCATGGAACTTCTTACTAAACAGGTGAACACAGACTGTTATCTGGATAATAATAACAAAGCATGCTTTAAAATAATGAAAAATAGGTGTTTCCCCTGAGTTGAATCCCTGTGTGGAATAAATTGCACGCTCCAAAGGGAACATGGTGGAATAAACATCAGTTTCACAAGGTTTGCCTTGCTGATCTTGTGTGAGATCATCTTTTCTGCCTTGGAGGACTTGGAAGAGGCAAGAAGTGAGAGCACATCAGCTTTGAATTCTCAGAATTTCTGGGAGGAAGCTGGTGTAAAGAATGAGTTCTGAGGAGCAAGACACATTGTTTTCCTCTCGAGAAGCCTCTGCTACTGCACAAAGTCAGCTCTGGAGAAGTGAGGAATGCAGAAGATTGTAGGCATAGGTGTGACTCTTGTGTAGACAGAGTGATCGATTTTTCTCTTTAAGTAAATGAATGAAGTAACTACTTTCAGGCTCTGGCAGAAACTTTTGTAAACCCTGGAAGGTAAAGCAATGCCAGAGAGAAGCGGCAGCTTTCACGGAAGCAAAATTGTCATAGCTCACTCATTGGCTTCATTAGATAGCAGTCTCTTTTGCTTCTTGCAACAAGAAGCTGTAATTTCTGTTGTGACGTTGCTGAAAATGTGTAAGTGCTGTAATAATGGAGCTGCTTTTGTTTCTGTCTTGCTGTTTTTTGGAAATGTGTCATTCAGCCTTTACTTTTTTCCTGCAGGTTCTTAGTATTAATGCTGTATATCACTTTCCAGACTTCCTCTGGAAAACAAAAATTGTTAACTGAAAACAAGTAGTTAAAACTAAAACTGGAGTGCAGAAGAAAAATAATATCCCAAAGCACATGTTCCAAAATAGATTTGCAAGGTGAGCACAAGAAGCAAGTATGTGTTACGTAAAATACTTCCTTCCTCCTGCAGGGCTGGAGCAGTGCCTATTCAATAGAATCAGTCATCATGCAGATCAATGCCACTTTAGTCAAAGGAAAAGCCAGAGTACACTTTGGAGCCAATAAGGTAAATGCGCTGCCTGTATCAGTTACACAAATTCCTGTGAGGCTTCCATTTCTTTGCTGACTTGTATAGAAGATGCTTAATGACACAATTGTCTTGGCAAACATATTTGCATTTTTGATTGATTTTGATGTCTGGTGCACGTCCGAGTATTTTCTTGGCCGTTAACGGTGAGTTTGTGAAGAAATGGTGAATGTATTATGAGGATAAAACCTTGGGATGGGCAGGGCGTGTACGTAGTTGGACCTGTACTACCCCCATATTGGCAAGGGTGGGAGAGAAGGAGGATTTGGAATTGGGAGGATTTGGAAATTGTGGCTCTGAGAAAGGCTGTAGATGACAGCCTGACTGCCAGGATCGCATACACTGATGTTAAGAAGTTCTCCTCCTTTTGTTGGACTAGACACCTGCGAAGTTTCACGAGAGGGTAAAAATTAATACCGTGCAAATACCTCTGAGCGAGCCATTCAGCATTTATTGAAATCATAATTCAGTTCCAGTGTGCATGCTGGTAATGGACTGTAACTTGAAAGACTTTAAAGTACTAAATGGTATTTTGGAAGGATGTTTCAACATTTAAGTCCATGAAATTGTCACTTGGATGCCAGTTTGTAAGTACCGCTTCAAGGATAGTGAGCTAGGTAAGATGTAAAAGGTCATGATCACAATTCTAACCCAGTAGCTGGTCAGCTGAGCAGACAGAGTTACGGTGGGGATTGCCTGAAGCCCGCCGTTCCGGTTACACGCACTTCTGACTTCCCGCGGGCTCTGAACCCTCCAACAGAGGAGCCTTCCCAGCAGTAGGGGTGTGCCAATTGCTGTCATTGTGATGGGGGAGAAATGAGAAAATAAGGGTATTTGTCTTGAAAATCTTGTACTTGAGAGCCAGGAATGCTGTAACATCGTGCATGGTTTTGCTTTGTAACCCCACTGTAGAGTTCCTTTGTAAAACTAGAGGCAGGTTTTTTATGTTAGTTTTTTTTCTCCTTTCAGAATCAATATAATCTAGCAAGAGCACAGCAGTCCTATAAGTCGCTAGTACAAATACATGAGAAAAATGGTATGTATATTCTTGTGACTTTGTTCTTGTCTGCACAGCACCCTGGGAGTTGGTATTTGGCCACAGTAAAACTTGCAGTGCCAGAGTGTCTTTTCTTGGCTCGGGAAGACCATAAATGGTGTTTCCTTTTGCTCACCTTGCACTGGGAAGACAATAGCGCTTAAAGTAACTTGACTAACAATCATGGCAACTTTTGCAGCTTACAAGAATGTTCTCTGTGTTCCTACTGTCTTTTGAAAGGTAGTTCCATTTTCAGTGGTTGATCTAGTAACTTTATTGTTATTGTAGCTTTTGAAGTGTCTTTATTTGTTAGTGAAGTACCTGCTGGAAGTTTGCCCCTTTCCCTGAAGGGCTTTGTTTCACTGTGGCAAGACCTTAGCGGTAGTAATCACAAAGGAAGAGATAAAGTGGAAAGACAGATGTGAGACTGAAAAAATACAAGAAAAGTCAAGTGAAGTGCGCTGGCTGGAAAACGGTCCAATAAAAGTGGGAGACGCTTTTTTTTTTTACCCTGTTTAAAGCTGGTTAATGGTCTCTCAGGTGCACAAAACAAATATTCAAGTGCTTCAGGTGAAATTGCATTCGTTGTGCCAGGATGAGAAGACAACAAATGACCTGAAGGTTTAAGTGGCTTCCATGTACGTAGAAGTAGTCAGCAGAGTTGGTACCTGGGTCTCGTGATGAGGGAGTTAGTCCCAGTTCCCACTTCCGTGATGTTCTTTGGTCCAGGTTGGACACGGTCTCCTCTGGGAATTCATGTTGCTGTGAGCATGAGAGCATATTTCAGTGTGACTGTAGCGAACACTTCAGTTTTCCTGCCTCTAAAACTGAACCTAATGCCTTCTCTACTATTGGGAGGAAGATGAAAGATAACGACTTTAACATGCTTTCCAATTTTAGGATATTTTGATCCTGGCATTAACTGAGTCTTTTTTTAGTTTGCTACAAAAGCCAGCATGGCTGTCTCTTTACTTCTAGCTATATGCTAGCCTTGACTACAGTGATTACCACTGCATCAGGAGCAGTACGCAAAGCATTCACAGCATTTTTTGCTGCTGCAAAAGGTGTCTTTACTTATAGCTGCTACCTGTTCTCTGGGACAATGTGAATCTCAACTCACTGTACAAAAATGTAGGGGTTTTTTTACTTTGTGTCTGGGAGAACTTGGATTGCAGATCCGGAGGTGGCTAGAAAAAACTATGCAGACTTGGTCAGGTACGAGTCAACTGCTAAATATGCCAAGTCCTATCAGGAGGCGAGTGGTTCAACTGACACTTGTGAGCCCATTCCTACAGCAAGATTTGCAGAAATAGGATAAAGCATTCAAACGCTTGTGTGTGACTCACTCTTGAGTATGCAAGATGGGATTTATATATCTATTTATATATGTATCCTAGTGTGGTCGTGTTTGTGCGTCTGTGCATTAAGTGGCTTGAACACTTGGGGGTTTTACCTGTATTCCATTTGGTTTTGTCACAGCCACGTACCTCCTTCAGCAGCTTCTGCTGTTTGGTGTCCAGCTCAGGCCAGCTGCTGCCACAGACCCCGCCAAACTTGGAAGTATTTAATTTTCACGCCCAAATGATGGGTCTGATCCTGGACTAGGCCACAGGCTTTATCTCCTCCTGCAGGCCACTAGCGCTTGGGGCACTGGGTCTCACTGAGCCGGCCTACTTGGAGCCAGCTTAGGAAGGAGCCAGATTAGGCTTCCATTTCCCACAGATGGAGAGTGAGGCGGTAAGATCGTCTTGACGCAGCAGTGTCGGTACCTAACGCGTGTCTCTGTTCTCCGTAGGCTGGTACACTCCTCCGAAAGAAGATGGCTAATATTGAGGACTGTTGTATACCTGGACCAATGTCAACAAAATGAGCTCTTTTTTATGTTTTCCAACACACAGACTCAAGCTATGAGTGCCCCTGTAACAGCCGTACTGAAGACTTTAGCTATTAGATAAGTTAGTGGATAATCTGTCAACTGACACGTAAAGTATAAGTTACAGCCTTACCATTCCGCTCTTCTTAGGTATCTGGACTGAGCAGTTTGGGCCTTTACTGGTTTTGTTCTGATGGAATAAGCATATTTGGGCCATGCCCTCCCTTCTCCCTTTTTTTTTTTTTTTTTATTTGACAGCTTAAGTTCCCTACGGCAGGCCATCGAGTTACTAAAGATCATTCAATAGGAGTGAGTTGTTCACACACTTTTGTGTCTTTCTTACTTTTTGCAAAATGCAGACTGCAGAGACTTGCGTTGTATCGTTTCATTTAAAGCCAAGAAGTTTAATACATTGTTTAATACTGTTTTAGGAAATGTCAGGTCTTGCAAATCACAGTAGTTTTTCTGGTCTAAAATGGCAGCATTTGTAGTATTTCCAAATTAATGATATAGGAAAACACCTGTATGTTAAGTCATTAAACATTTTTCATGGCTGTGTGAGAATACGAACTGTTTCTTGGAAGAGATGCTGTTTGTTTAGATTGATTATTTTTTTTTTTTTTTGGCTTTGGTTTGTTGGGGTTTTTTTGTTGTTTTGTTTGTTTTTTAAGCAGAGCAAGGCTGTGCCAATAAAACCTTGTAACTAGTCACTTCCACTGGGGCATCAGAACTTGCTGGGCTGTTCCTGCTACTTGTTGGCTCAAGCTCCTTAACAAGAAGAGCCGCAGTATGAAGCTTGAAGTTATTTAAAAATACTAAAAACCTTTTTAGGTGTTCCATTTTATTAACGGGTTGTTGCAATCATTTGTAAACTAATGAACTGATAAAGTGATTGGCACAAATCGAGATGAAAGTCCTTGAATGAAAAATTTTTATATAAAAGCTACAATAAAGTACAAAAACTCGTCATCTGATTCAGAGGTTTAAGAACTGTTTCCATGGTCACGACGGTGGTTTCGTTAGCGAGAGACTGATGAGAACTGTTCGTTCTTTAGTAGGAGATGGATCTGGTCTGTGTCACTACAGCGTCTTTCATGGCCTTACCGAAATCGATTCTCTCTTGGTTGTAGTACTCGTCAGTGGGCCTTTGCACCCCCAGGGGCTGCGCTAAGGGTGTGTACCACGGATTAAGCACTTTTTAGAAGCGCAGAAGCATGTTTTTGTTACGGTTTTTCAGTTGACTATCACGTTTGTGCTCTTTTCTCTATCAGGCACCCACGGGTCCTTGCGCATTTGCTTCTAGATCCAGTTTTTAGCTCGAAAGAAACGAGGGGAGAGGTTTGGCACTGCTTCCGATAACGCGTTGTTCCAAGTGTACGGTGGGTGACGTCCCAGCCTTTCTGCTTGCGTGGTTGTACCGGTATTTGTAAAAGCCCTGGCAGGCAGGCGCCCAGGGGAGCGGCGGCCGGCGCGGGCGGCTCTCGGCGGC